CATGGTTTGGGAAACCCACTGTTCTCCATTTGTCTCAGTCATCCATTGTTCTACCAATTGCATTTCACACACAATCAGATTCTATAAAATAGGAACATGTGGAAGTATGTCATGGTATATATATGTAGGAAAATCTTTGACTTTAAGAACTTCACCGTACAACAACTGGAGCCGAAAATTTGGATGGCTCAGGATCTGGCAAATTGGCTGACTGCATGGGATTAGTACGAGCAACGTACTGTTAAATATTCTGATCGAGAATGTTGAGCCTCTTGCTCAATTGTGGAATTTTGTGTTAGTTAAATATAGTTACCTGCTTAAATCGACGATAATTTAAGAAGGCCTATATCGTATCTTGATAAAACATGAGTTGGTCAAACCTTGCTGTAATGCAGCTATTTGATAAATCACACCGCAACAAATCAACGTGTAGGCTCGAATGAGAAATTATATCTTATCAAGAAAAATTACAAGACAAAATTTCTTGGTTTAAGAAAAGGTTTCTCAAAGTTAGAAAATAAATCTTGGCAAGATATGTTTGTGTGATGTTACTCTGAGTCTATATCCACACCGGGCAGGCTTGAAAAATATGCCTGGCCACGGCGGGATTCGAACCTACGACCTTTGGAATACTAGCCCAGTGCTCTTCCAACTGAGCTACGCGGTCAGGACGGTTCGAGCATGAGATATTTCGGAACTGAGTCTAGTTCCTTCGATATCAGTGTAATCTAATAATCATGAAATCTGCTGTGTTGGTGTAATGTACTCAGGTGAATAAGATGTTTGTGTGATGTTACTCTGAGTGTATATCCACACCGGGCAGGCTTGAAAAATATGCCTGGCTACGGCGGGATTCGAACCTACGACCTTTGGAACACTAGCCCAATGCTCTTCCAACTGAACTACACGGTCAGGTCGGTTCGAGTATGCGATATTTCGGAACTAAGTCTAGTTCCTTCGATATCAGTGTAATCTAATAATCATGAAATCTGCTGTGTTGGTGTAATGTACTCAGGTGAATAAGATGTTTGTGTGATGTTACTCTGAGTGTATATCCACACCGGGCAGGCTTGAAAAATATGCCTGGCCACGGCGGGATTCAAACCTACGATCTTTGGAACACTAGCCCAATGACCTACGACCTTTGGAACACTAGCCCCTAGGTCCGAATCCCACGGTGGTCAGGCATATTTTTCAAGCCTGCCCGGTGCGGATATACACTCAGAGTAAAAAAAAAAACATGGGCGTACCGGAAGGAAAAAATTAGGGGGGCGGAAAGAAAATTGCCCGATTTTTCGGGATTCTGCCCGACTAGTACCAAAAAAATTTTTCCGGAAAAATTATTTTGGCGACCTCGCCCCCCCCCCCCC